CACCTTTTTTTTTTTTTTTTTTTGAATTTCTTTTCTCTCCCTCTCTCTCTCTCTCTTTTTTTTTTTTTTTAACATTATATATACATATATATATATATACACACACACATGTCATAATTATTACAATGGCTCCAATACATAAATTTAATAGAGGAAGACATACCCGATATAGAAACTGTGTTTGAAGAGAACACTAGAGTGGAAACATTCTTCTCAACTCTTTACCTTTACTGCGATATTGAACGATGGATTTCAGACATTTCTATCGCATATTTATAGAGGGCTGGGACCGTTCCATAATCGTTGTGAGAGTAAAAGATATGTTGATTCCATTAACCAACACACCTCTTACAAATAGATATGTTGGTTCCATCAACCAACACACCTCTTGATTACATATATATATATATGTATGTGACTGTTTATTCTAAAGGTGTAACCTTTCTTACAGATATGGTCAATGATTAATATTATTTAATTATTGTTTGACTATTATTTGCTTACATATATTACCTGGGATGTATAACTGGATATAGTGGATAGTTGTGTGCCCTGATAGATCATGGTAGTCATGTCCACTATATGTGCGTTTTGCATGTTGCCTACTATTTAGGTTGAGGCCGCCCTATAGTCCCGTAATTGTCCTTTAGTGTGTGTGTGTGTATCTATATATATATATATATATATATATATATATACAGATTCTGTAGTTATTGTTGAGTTGACTAGGATGTATACGTGTATCGGGTCTCTGTTTGGAATGTAGTAGAGTAGAACTTGTTCGTGGCCTTGACCCACTATTATTTTTCAGGTGTTCGTCAATTCCAGACTTAGAGATTGTTCGTGCTGAGCAGAGATTGTCTTCATCACTCTTCTACGTAGGATTCTTTTTATTTCATTTCAGTCTTTGGATTTATTTCATTTCAGTTATTTCTAGTTGGGTTAGGGGTCCACATGATAGATTCCCAAGTTGTAATCTAGACGGTTACTGATATAAGAGGATACGGATGGTTTATGGAGGATTTATTTTATTAGATTTAATGGAGGATTATTTTATTGGATTTAATGGAGGATTTATTATTTAGTTTCTTTTTAGCATTATTCTTTATTCTTATTTATCTTTTGTATTCTATACTTACTTATTACCTAATTGTTTTGATATTTCCCTCGGATTTGTACACGGACTTGATTGACCGGTGTTCCAGAATCGAGGAGTATCACAAAACCGAAGTTACCAAACTTGATGAGAAGCCTTGAACGGGTTCAAGATGGCCAGTGCTCAATTTATAGAATTCTTTTGATTCTTTAACCGGTTCAAAGAATCCTGAACTGGTTCAATTAGATGGCCAGTGCTCAATTTATAGAATTCTTTTGATTCTTGAACCGGTTCAAAGAATCCTGAACCGATTTAAGATGACCAATCTTGAATACTCCAACAATCTTCAGATGTTGAAACTATTAAAAAATTCTTGAAGCAGTTCAAGTTGGGCATAATGGAATTTCTTCCTAAAAACTTGTGTTTCAACCTTCCAAAACTTCCTTAAGTGTTCTCACACACTCACATACATTTCTTAAGCATTGTTCTCATCATCTCGGAGTGTATTCAAGTATGAACACTTGAACTTTTTCAAATCCACTTCCGATCTTCAATCTTGAAAATTTTGAACCGAAATATTATAACTCGATCGGACTAGTTTTGACACACATTTTTTACATGCACAAAGATTGTTTGTTGGGTCTGCATGTCAAAATTCTTAATTGCACATATAGACTTGGGCGTACTTTATTAATCCCATCAACATTCATCTCAAATCAAACTAGAATGTAATAATTAAGTTAAATCCCATAATAAAGAGAACATGAAAGCTAATTGCGTTTGGCTTTTCTTGAGTAATACCCTTAAGTTAAGGTAACGTAACTAGATTTTAATTTTAACATTTAAATCCATTCCTTTGTTATTTAGGGGGGGAAAAAAATATCCACTTCTTTGTTAGTATTTGTGCAAAAATATTAAAAATGGTTATATCTATCACTAATTTCTCCAACGTCCCAAGTAAAATTTTTTTTCATGAAAAATCAAGCAATTTATTACTGTTATAACAATAAATGTAGTGTACAAAAGGCCAAAGGCTAAGATTATAAATGATAAACTAGCCAGCCCAAACGGAAAAGAAGACCATCATATCAGTCCCAAAACAACAAAGCAAGGATTTAGTGAGTAAATTTTAAGATTTAAAACACTTTAAATTAATTCTTAAAAATCATGTGAAGGAAAAAAAAAAATTCAAGTTAAACTCAAATCATACAATACAAAAAGAAAAAAAAAAAATCACCATCATCATTAGCATCGATGGAGTTGAATGACTTATAAAGTTTTGATATTTTTTTTTTATGTTTCTTGTGCTAACAAAATCAATTACTTTGTTCAACTCCACCATTTCTTCATATGTGAGATCCTCCATTGTTAGATACAAACACTAATATTAAACCCTAAGGCTGGAGAGAGCGAAGATAATTAATACGAAGTAGAGAAAGAATTAGTTAATTGGGGAGTAAGAGAGACCGGATATATTTTCATAATTGAAAGAGTAATTGTGGTATTTAAAATTTTTTTTATTTTTTATTTATAAACTTTGAAATAAAAGTGTCATTTCTTTTAAGAGGGCAGTGCAAATGTAAAAAATTGTGGTGTGCAAATATTGGTGATGAAAGAGATAAGATGATAAAAATATATATTTGTTTTAAAAACAAACTTTTTAATGTCTCATGAAAAAAGGAAATGACATATTAACACATGAACAATCATACTTTCTCTTTGGTTTACCTATTTGGTCCTTGTATCGTTTTCTTACTTTAAATTGAACAAAATAAACTTGCCTTTCATGCATAAAAAGGGTGGCCCCGAACTCTTCCTAGTCGCATAATTGCATTTAAGAGATGGCACACATATCACGTGTTTGCTATGGGAAGAGTCATTCGTCAAGTCAACCACCGTAAGTCAGGCCACCATTGTTGAAATGGAATCACCTCCTTTACTAATATTGTCTCCTAATATTAGAGACTGTTCACAAACAATATTATCTCCTATAGACTTGCAAATTTCTTGGAAGCTGCACAAAGAGTTGACCACTAAATAGGCAGAATTTAGAAAATGATTGACGTGATGCTCCAGAACCAAAAGTTGTGTAGAATGATCCATGTTAGTCTCTTCTAAAGAAATGGTATCCCAAACGATCGTAGATTGAAAGAACATGAAGCTTTTTTTAAGATTATAATTGCCTTAATTAGAAAAACTTTTAAATCAAAAGAATTGCAAGGAAATGAATGAGGATTGAAATTGTATACAAGTTGAATTAGAGCCCCCTTTCTTTTTTTTTTTTTTTTTTTTTTTTTTTTTTTTTTTTCATGTAAAGAGTGTTAGAAGCTAAATTAGAGTTAAATTAGTAGAAGTTAGACATTTAATTATGTTTAAAATTCTGAAGGTGCTAGACCATTTAGACTGTCTACTACTACTATTATTTATCGTTCGTAATTTGTATTTGTTATTTGAATAACAATCTATCTGCTTTTCACTTACACCATATATACATGGCCAGAATCATAAATCTTTAAAATAATGAATAGTTTCAATTATAGAATTTTATGGAAGCAACTTGAAGACGTATTGGTTTATGATAGCCAATAAGCCATGTAACTGTTAGAATGAAAAGAAAAACAAAACCTTAAATCAAGTCTCCCATTATGTAGTATGCCTGAATGTTAGTATATAAGATCAGATTTTTTCATTGAAGGAACTGTTTTGTGTGGTGAGAAAAATCCGAAAATATTAAAAAATAAAAAAGCCTATATATGTAACATATCTCTTTTAAAATCAAGATGATTAGTTGTTTATATAAAAATTATGTTTTTAATATTTTATAAAACATAGGAGTAAAAGATTGACACGTGAACAATCTGATAAACTCTCTTATCATTTTCTTATTTTAAATTGGTCGAAATGAACTTCCCTATCACGCGTGAAAAAAGTGGTCCGAACTGACAAATGGTTCCAATTTGAGCCAAAAACAATGCAAATAGACATATTGATATGGACACTGTAACTCAGTCAATCATTGTTGGAATATAAGTTATTGTACACATCTACGTACACATCACTCCCTCTTTGTCGAATAATAAGTGTCTCTTTTTTAAAATCTAACTTTTTAAGATAATTTTTTTTAATTTTATTATACTAGTAGTGAACGAGTTACTAAATTTATTCATAAAAGTCTAAAGTGATGTCATGTTTTATTTTTTTTTATAAATTCAGTACAATTAATGTTCCACTTTTCAATTGAAATAATTATTTTGAAACAATTAAAAATAAAAAAAGTGAACACTTTTTTATTGGATGAAAAAAAATATTATATAAGGGCTGTATTATTCAAATAGTAAAATTTTGTTTGAACGACTACGTCTAAAAAAAGCTGCCATACGTAGTTAATGGATATTAACATATTAACTAGACTTCAAATAACTCTACAAGATATTCACTTGTTTGTCTATTTTTTTATGTTTTTTCTTCACAATTTCCAATATATGACATCGTGAGTTGAAAGGACGCTGCTTTTACAAGCAAAATGAGAATTATTGGAAATGATCCACCAAAATTCAAAGCTTTATTGGTTTATTTAATTATTGGAAATGATCCACCAAAGTCCAAAACTTTAGTGGTTTATTTAGTCTATGTTCATACTTCATATCTATGTGAAAGGACGCTACTTTTCCAATTTCCAATATATGACCATGGTGAGTTGAAAGGATGCTACTTTTACAGGCAAAGTGAGAATTATTGGAAATGATCCACCAAAGTCCAAAGCTTTATTGGTTTATTTAGTCTATGTTCATACTTCATATCTTTGTGTGTATGTGCTTGATGTCTGTGTCAGTTGAGCCGTATAAGCAAGGCTAAAATAATCAGTATAAATCAATGTGAAATGAAATTTTGAACAAAATCAAATATGGCAGTTTTTCAAAAGCGCTATATTTTTCTTTTCCTTATTCTTGTTTTCTCTTCACTTTCATCCACAATCATATCATCGGAAAAGACAGAAGTCGAAGCTCTTCTAAAATGGAAGAATAGCTTATTATCTTCTAATAATTCCATCACTTCATGGTCTGTCACCGACTTCAAAAATCATTGCAACTGGACTGGTATTGTCTGTCACAGTACTAAAACTGTATCCGAGATCAATCTGTTCGATTCGAATTTGAATGGAACACTTACCCAATTCAATTTCACTTCATTTCCATATCTCACCCATTTCAACCTCAGTAGCAACCAACTCAATGGGCCAATTCCATTTACAATTGGCAATCTCTCCATGCTTCTTGTTTTGGACTTGAGTAACAATAATTTTGAGGGCATTATACCTTCAGAGATTGGGTGGTTGACAGAGCTTGGGTACCTTGGTTTCTGCAACAACAATCTCAGTGGTAGCATTCCATATCAAGTTAGCAATCTTCAGAAGGTATGGCACTTGGAACTTGGATTTAACCATTTAGAAACTCCAGATTGGTCAAAATTCTCAGGTATGCCTATGTTGACTCATCTTAACTTTAGTTCCAATGAACTTACCTCTGAATTTCCAAATTTCATAATCCATTGCCCCAACCTCACTTTGCTTGATTTGTCATACAATCATTTCACTGGCCAAATACCTGAGTTGTTATTCACCAATCTTGCCAAACTTAAGTATCTTATACTCTCTAGTAATTCATTTGAAGAGTTATTGTCATCAAATATTTCAAAGCTTTTGAAGCTCAAAGATCTTGATCTGGGTGACAACCAGTTTGTGGTTCAATTCCTGAGGAGATTGGATTAGTTTCAGATCTTCGATTCATTTGGTTGTATAACAATTCTTTCCAAGGAAAGGTTCCTTCTTCCTTAGGCCAACTCAGAAAGCTTCAAATACTTAATTTAGAAATGAATGACTTGAATTCTACAGTTCCTTCTCAGCTTGGCTTATGCACTGAGCTCACATACTTGAGTCTTTCTACGAATTTACTTACCGGACCCTTACCTTTGTCCCTGTCCAATCTGTCCAAGATATCTACATTGCTCGTAGCCAATAATTTTCTTTCCGGCGAGATCTCACCTTATCTTGTCACCAATTGGACTGACTTGAAATTTTTAGAACTTCAAAACAATTCATTCACCGGTAAAATTCCACCTGAAATTGGCCTATTGACAAACCTCACATTGTTGGATCTGTCTTTGAATTCACTTATCGGACCCTTACCTTTGTCCCTGTCCGATTTGTCCAAGATATCTGGATTGTATATATCCGATAATTTTCTTTCTGGTGAGATCTCACCTTATCTTGTCACCAATTGGATTAACGTGGAAATTTTACTACTTCAAAACAATTCCTTCACTGGTAAAATTCCACCTGAAATTGGCCTATTGACAAAGCTCAGATACATTTACTTACACAATAATCAACTCTCTGGCTTGATCCCACCTGAGATTGGAGTCCTGAAAGAATTGGAGGCTTTGGACCTTTCGGCAAACCAACTCTTAGGTGCAATTCCTCCAACAATTGGGAATCTCCCAAACCTCAGTTACTTGAACCTCTGCGACAACTATCTTAATGGAACAATTCCACCCGAAATTGGGAATTTGAAACTAATGGTTGTTTTTGATCTGAGCAAAAACCAATTAAATGGTGAAATCCCAGCTCAGGTAGGTCGCTTGACTCAATTGTCCTATCTAAGCCTCGAATCAAATGAATTCACGGGTAAAATACCACCTACCATTTGCAACTTGAGTTCCCTTGTGATTCTTAATCTATCTAATAACAGCTTCATCAATGTTATTCCACAATGTCTGGGAAACTTTAGCCATGAACTCTCTGTGCTAGATCTGCGGATGAATCGCTTTCGTGGGAGTGTTCCTGCAAATTTCACAAAGTGCAATAATTTGAGAAATCTCGGCTTGAGTGGAAATCACTTAGAAGGGGCTATGCCACGGAGTTTGGTCAATTGTAGACATTTGGAAGTTGTTGATCTCGCCAACAACAACATAAGTGACACATTCCCCCATTGGATCGATAATCTTCCAAAGCTGCAGGTTCTCGTCCTGCGATCTAACAGATTTGGAGGCACAATTGATACTTCCATGAGTAAACTACCCTTTCCTATGTTGCGAATAATCGACCTCTCTCATAATGAGTTCACCGGTCCCTTGCCTGCAAAATATTTCAAGAATTTCAAAGGTATGATGAATGTTGATGAACATAAAGTGGGTCCTGAATACATGGGGGAGAAGGTCAATGAAAGTTATTATGAAGATTCAGTGGAGGTGGTGGTGAAAGGGCTAGAGCGTGAACTTTCGAGAATCCTAACCATCTTCACAAGTATTGATTTATCGAGCAACAATTTTCAAGGGGAGATTCCTGACTTCATTGGAATTCTTCATTCACTACGGTTGCTCAACTTATCTCACAACAGTCTTGCAGGACATATTCCATCATCTCTAAAAAATTTGACTCTGCTTGAATCATTGGACCTCTCTTCAAACCAGTTAGTGGGGAAAATTCCTTGGCAACTGACAAGGCTGACATTTCTTTCAATCCTGAACCTTTCTCAAAATCATCTTGTTGGACCAATACCTCATGGTCAACAATTTGATACATTTGAAAACAATTCATACTCTGGAAACCGGGCATTATGCAGTTTGCCATTGACAAAGAAATGTGGAGACGACGAACCACCAACATTGCCACATCAAGAAGTTGATTCAGATTTTGCCAGTGGATTTACTTGGAAAGTTGTGGTGCTGGGATATGGATGTGGGTTTTTATTTGGATTGTTTATGGGTTATCTTGCCTTCTTAACTGAAAAACCAACATGGTTTGTAAAGATGATTGAAGGAAAACAATACAAAACTGGGAAAGGAAGGAAGAAGAGCGGTCAAGGACGTGCTAGGAAAAGAAATCAGCGAACACAACAAATCAACCAGCACTGGTAATGTATCTTTGTCGATCGAATTCGTCACTACTTAGTTGTTCTATATATGCTGCTTTCTAAATTATCCATTTTAGTTTTTGTATTTAAATAAAGTTGTATGCCTGGATGTTACTAAAATGTTCAAGAGACATGTTGAAGAAATGTTGCTCTGCTATTACTGTGTAATATTTTGAAATCTCCTTTTGTTTTTCTATGTCATGAAGTAATTGAAATCTCTTTTGCCTAAGCATGTTTTGAACCTTATTCATCTCTAATAAAGTTTCACTTTCATTACTTGAAAATATATATATATGCTTGAAAAATCACTTGCATGAACAATTTGTGTGTAATGAACTAAAAACATAGTTTCTTACCTACTAGAAAATATGTGGATTTCTGACTTGGACATTTAGTCAAAAGTTGTTATAATTCACTATATTGGTTTCATTTTAAAATTTTCAGCCTCCATACCATTCACTCCAATAACTGATGTGGTACGTACTTAGGAAATTGACTCTCCTATGTGTATTAAGATATATAGATTCTGTTTTGCATTTGCATATTTATGTGTATTAATCAAATACAGACATTTACAAGATGCAACTATCAGTTTCAATTGGGTGTGATAGATCAAACATTTTTCATATTTTCACAATACATGAACTATGATGACGGTTCAAAATAATATCCATAAATCTTTATTCTTCTACAGTTAATACTCCTTTTTAATGATTTTTTTTTTTTTTTAAAGGTGAGTCGTAAAACCGGACGTCATAAATTGGTCTTAAAGGGTGAGTTATAAAATCTGACATTATAAATTTGACTCTCATTAGGTACAAATATATCGGACTTTAAATAATATATGTAATTTGCAGGTGAGATTACACTTAGGTGATTATACATATGCAGGTGATTTACTCAAAAAAAAATTCCAAAACACGTATGCAGCAAAAGAGTGTATGCCAAGTACACCCTTTTTCCCATTTTCTACGGTATTCTTGTCTGGTTTTATATTAGGGAGCATTATTTTTGTTTTAAATTACCCATTATTTTTCTTTTGAAATAAAACACTTCTTGGTTCTCTTTAGGCATAAAATTGTGTTAATACATTCCTTTTTTGAACAAATTAATTTCAAGTAGAATAAAAAATTTAAGAGTCATTATCAGATGTAGCTTGATGGGAAATTTTATGTTATTATTTAGTATGGACAATATTTGCCTACTACGAAGCTTATACTCACTAAGTAGGTGGCGCAATGTTAAACTGACAAGTATCTTTACATTTAAAACAATAAAAAATAAATAATTTGATAGTTATTCGGATTAAACTCAAATAAATCCGAATTAAATCCTAATTCTCTCTCCTCTCCATCTTTGTCACGCTTCCCTAATCTCATCCGCCTCCCCCCCCATCTCCCTCTCTCTCTCATATTTTTAAAGAGAGAAACTCCGCCCGTGTCTCCGAAGAACTGAAAGAAGAAGAAAAGTATATTTCAAATATCTAACTTGTTAGAATCATATTTGTATGAGAAGTTTGGTATTCATTAGTTAGTTGTTAAAGACAAAGTACTGGGTAATGACATTTACTACATTGTGTTTGTAAAAAATAAAAATAAAAAATCAGTAAGATTGTCCATATAAAACCTATTGTATAACCAGCAAAAGTATCACAATATATAGCCATATAAATGTCAGTTTTAGTTATTTTACGAGCCCATTTATACAGCAGAAGTATCACAATATATAGCCATACAAATATACTTCTCTTCTTCTTCTTCCAGTTCTCCGGAGACAACTAATTTACTCAATCCGAAAGCAAGTTTCCCTCCCCCTTCTCTCGAATCCATGGGAACTACCTTCTCTGAGTATCCTGATTCCATCGGCCGAGGGTTATTATGAGTTTCTTTCTCTAAAAATACAAGAGAGAGAGAGAGAAAGAGTGGGAGAGGCGGATGAGATTAGGGAAGCCTGAGAAAGAGGGAAAGGAAGGAGAATTAGAATTTGATTTGGATTCATATGGGTTTAACCCGAATAACTATCAAATTTTTTTATTTTTTATTATTTTAAATGTAAGGACACTTGTCAGTTTAACATTGCGCCACATACGTGGTGAGTATAAGTTTTTTACTCACCGGTGAGTAAGCAAGTATTGTCCATTTAGTACACTTTTGTAACGACCCAAAAATAAATGAATAAATAAATAAATAATAAAAATAAAAATTCGGCATGACCTCTACAGAAAAAGTCCTATTACGACCTGCTGAAATACATATAAAATGCAATGGCCTCACTTGGCCTCAAAACTAATCTATTATATCCCAACGCACAATGCAATAATATACAACATTCCTAAAATCAACCCATACATATAAAATTCTCGTTCCTCCATCTTATCCAAATAAGGAATCACTTTAATTACATTAAGTTACAGTCCATGATATATATTTATTTACACAAATTCTATCATTACAACACTATACAAGTTGCACTTAATTTTTATAAAAGGTACATGATCATGTTCTTATACAAAAGACAACAAAATAAGAATTCTAGTCCAGTCTTAATTTGCGATGGGTTGTCGTCCGCCCCTTTTTTCCCCAACCCGAAAAAATATTAAAATAATTGGGTGAGCATAAGCTCAGTAGGAGGTGTCTAAGACACATCTCTTAATGACCCCGTGAATCTACACAAAGCATAGGGTAAAAGTAAATGGGATCATGTCAATCGGGGGAAAAACACAACGACGACAACAATATCATCAAAAACTATAAAGCAAGTCATCAAACCATATGTTTACAATGTATGCCAATGTAATGCAATGACATGCCAATGTCACTCCCAATTTTCCAAATCAATTCATTTTCACCGTTCCAAACCATTAATGCGACCCGACCCATAGCACCTCTATGGTGCCATGAGGGAAGGATTGGTTAGCTTTCCCTGACCACATGGTACCTCCATGGCGTCGTCTGGGCCTAGGTAGCTCAACCACACTAGAGTCTCTCTCTATTTCCCTCTATATTACATTAACACCACGGACCATTAGGCGCCTCCTAGGCGTCCGGTTTTTCACAAACCTCATTTCAAAATCCTTTCCCAAATCAATTTTTTATTATTTCATAAAACAACTTTTTCCCATTTCATGCCCAATGATAAATGCATGAAATGTCACATGTTATCCAATGTTAACATAAGAATACACTCATTTCATTAACATCATGCTAGCATGTTTAAAAATAAATCTTTCCACACCAAGTCATGTTCTCATTCTCAACAAATATAGCATTACAAGTAAATGGAGCATATAGGTAATTCAACTAAACATTTATATTTCATCACAATTTAATTAGACATGCAACTTAGCACATACAACGCATAAAAACACCTCATCATGCTTCATTTACATATAATTTCAATAACCATAAATTAATACTCATAATTTAGTGAATAATTTTTATAAAAAAACAAATCACAAAGGACAAAGATATTGTAACTTAGAAACCTTTACCTCAATGGAAGTAAAAGCCCCCAAAATCCCCAAATTCAAGCCCTAAATTCGAATTCCATAGGCTTGGCCAAATGGTGAGTTGCTTCTATTAAAATGGCGGCCTCGACGAGCTCTCCAACTTTGCCAAAGGAAGTGCTATCAAATTCTAATTGGTGTGGAAGAAATCAAGCTTAATTTGAAAAAAAAAAAAAAAAAAAAGGGGGAGAAGATTGTCGGGAGTGAAAGAGATAAATGAGGCTACAAAGTGGCCTTTTGGCTTTCTAGAAAAATAAGTGGGATGTGGGTCACACAAAAAAATTTAACCTTTTTTAAATTTTTTTTCCACCACAATATATATATATAATCATAAACATTACAATCTATCCTTCTTAAAAGATTTCGTCCTCGAAATCTACCCTCCTTAAAGAAGGAGGCCCACAACCATACATCTTCTCGAGAATACCTCACAAAACCCCAAAACCATGAACTCACCAACATTATTGCCTTTGACACCAGACGTCACCAGGCATCACACACCACTGCCACAAAAACACAATGCTCACCACCCTATGAGGGTACTCATTACTCACGACATCAGAACACGAAGCCAACTAGGCCCTACAGCCGACTCAAAATGGACATCGGTCCATTCTACATTGCTACGCAAGACTCCAAAGCCCGAAAGAAGAACGGTCACTAAACCACCGAATATGACAACATCCAATCACAACTCCTCCCAAAAAGGAAACACAAAACCCCAGACAAAGAATCCCATTCATCTCACAATCAAGCTCAACTTTAATATACACATCCCTGTTAGACCGAACACTCACTACCTAACATTTAACTACACTATTACATACCTGTACAACGATTACCAACCACACCAAGCGGCAATCACTAAACTTATCATCCTCAAGATGACATACCTCTACAACGACTACCAACCACACCAAGCGGCAATCACTAAACTTATCATCCTCAAGATTACATACCCGTACAACGACTACCAACCAAACCAAGCGGCAATCACTAAACTTATCATCCATAAGATGACTAAATAATGAATCTCCCAACAACTACATAATCATGAATCACAAGAATAATAAAACAAATTATCCTGTACCCAGGTCACAAATCCTCAAAACAAAATTTTTCAATAATTAATGATCAAATCGCAAACCTATACCAAACACTTGGCACTACCTAACACACTTCGTCACCCAAAACAAATCATCTGAATCCATACTGTCACACTGACACAACGCGCAATACCGTGCTCTCACTATCCTTGACAAATTAAAACAATCATTGAACTTTGACTCGACATCGTGTTAAGAGGGATTGATTCAGGAGAAATGGTTTGCCAGGCCATTCTCATCATCGATCCGGTCTTAACACCAATGTCGTTCATGTCCTCAAGTCCAAACCTTATACACACTCTCACACAGTCCACAAGACAACCATGAGATTCACTCGTTATCAATCCATCGTTCTACGTAACCACGATAGCTAAATAGTCACATACTTACTCTAAAAATCCTAATCATACTTTAATCATATAACCCTAACAAGTTAGTAATAACACAACACCAAACATCACAATCATCAATCAGCGTAAAAACTCTCTAATGATCTTATAGCACTCATACAAGGTAGACGACTCAGTTCAATTCTTACTTCTTCAAAACACACAATACGACCATCTTATGCCTGAAATCTTAAAACCAAAATCAATCATTCCCATTATTCCTCA